GTATATATATATATATATATGTAGCCCTGGCTAAAAAAACAAAAAACTAAAATGATTTGCAAGATAATCACAGGTTTTTGCAACCTATTTTTTGACACAATTGATCATTTCCTTGTTTGTTGGACTTACTGTTTATTCTCCACCTTTGCAAATAAAAAACAAATACTGCTCTTCCCTTGTGTTTGGCTTGGTAGATCTCGGCATGCCATCGACTTCAAAAGTAGATCTTGGTTTAAAAAAGGTTGGGCACCCCTGGCTTAGAGGATAACCCAGCTCATGTTGGAGGGATTAGGTCTCGTGGCTGGCCAGGGAGTTCCTCAGTCTTCTCCAAGAATAGCAGGAGGAGGTGTTTTTAAGTTACATTCCCAACACTGGATATAGGCTATACCTGGTTTTTTGTTTTGACAAAAGCTTAGTACGTTTGTTCAATCTTTTTGTTTATTATAAATGAGTCCTACATTAATAAAATAACAACTGAGCTGTTGAGCTAGAAAAAAACATGAAAAGGGATTGATTTGGGATTGTTGAGATGATAAAGCCAACATGTCCAGAGAAAAACCTTCACAAAATTGCAAATAAAGGAGAAAAGACAGCTTCTTTCAATGCTTCAGAAAATTTATTAGGCAAAAGAAGAAAAAATACAGTAACTGCAGAGAAAAGCTTTGCATAAAACACTCTTTCCAGAATTCTTCCTTTTTGGCTCTTTGGTGCATGACCTCAGAGACAATCAACCTGATTTTCTTTATCTTGTCGCTTCAAACACTTAGCATTGCAGTAAAAGAGGATAGCTTAAGAAAAATAAGACCAATTAGATATCTTCCACATAATGATTCTTCACTTCTGGTGTTTATTTCCTGACACAGACGAATGGGTATCGATAAGTGCATGGATAGTCCAACCAGCATCTGCAAGCTAAATATGGGGATTAAAAGATTGTTATTAAACATCTTAGAGAAACTTAACATTCAGAATAACGGTTAGAATTTTTTGTTTTAGATTGATTAAGTATCACAAAAGTCTTTTTTTTCCTGACTCTTTAAACAGATTACCTGAGTAGTTCATGACAAGACAGTTGTAGCTGGAACTTGTCCTCGGCATGCCTGAGCACCAGGAATTATACCTGAAAGGAGTCCCATCGCTCCAAAACCAGTAACGCTCCTAGAGAAGATTAGAGCACACAACATTTAAAGCACATTATACCGCATAGTATGAGGAGAAGAAAGAAGTAATTGGTACATATCTGAAATCAACAAAACCTTAGAAGATTGACAAAGAAATTGATTCTTCACATCTTTATAAACAACAGCAGGCTAAAGATGTCTA